GGGCCTGGATCCCATGTTAATGTCCTACGTGAGTCCTGATGAAGACCTAAAGCCCATTATTATGCCTCCCACAAATCCAACTGGGGGCCCAGAGCCCATAAGAACGCCTCATGCAGGCTTGTTTCACAGATCTGTGGTGGGAAGGCCCAAAGGTCAATGGTGGAATCTACAAAGTCTGTGCCCGCAGGATGAAGGATCTGTACTAGCAGGCTGAGGGATCTACACTGGAGCCAGGAAGTGACGTGCAAAGTAAGAACCAGAGCTCTCCTGAAAAGTACTACAGCCATCCTCAGCAACAGTGAGGTCCTGAGCTCCTCTAATGGTGAAGACAGCTGAATTCCCATCAGGAAAGCCGATGCAGCAAGCTTCTCCAGGAGACTGGCAGTGCACCATCTTCCCCTCCGGAGCCAGGAAGTAATGTTCAAGGTGAGGACCAGAGCTCCCCTAAAGTGAACCAAAACTATCTCAGTGCCAACAAGGTTCCAAGCTCCTCGGAGGATGAAAACAGCCAAGTTCATCAGGAAAGCCAGCACGACAAGCTCCTCCAACAGAACCAACAGCTTTTTAGAGCTTCTACCAGCCCCCAGTAGACTTTTCCTGCTCCCAACAGCCTAACTTCTTCTCCAGTTCTGCCTCTTATGCTGCTGGCAACAATCCTCAGGTGGGCCTCCCACACCCAGCACCACGCTTACTCAGTTCAGCTGGGGGTTATAAATTGACTACCAGTTGTCACTGCACCACAGTTCTAGATATTAGTTCTTTGTCTGAAAAACACCTGGCATAAATATTTTAGCACAATGTGGGCTGTCCTTTACCTCTATTGGTAGTTTCTTTTGCTGTGCAAAAGCTTTTTAATTAAATGGGATCTCAGTTGTCGATTCTTTGTGATAATTCCTGTGTGATCAAGGATTGTTTATAAAGTCTTCCCTTGCACTACACCTGTGTCTTCCAGAGTTCTACCTATTCTAACTTTCAGCAAATTTAGTTTTTCTACTTTAATATTTAGATCCTTTATCCACTTAGATTTTTTATTTTAGTTTTGGTGAGAGACATAGATCTGAGTGATCTATTTTAGTTTTGGTGAGAGACATAGTCTTCAGCACGTGGAAGGCTAGTTTTCCCTGCACCACTTATGAAAGAGACTGTCTTTCAAGTGAACATGTTTTGCCCTTTTGTTTCAGATCAGGTGGCTGAATGAATTTGGAGTTTTTTCTGCATCTTCTCATACATTCCACTAATCCTCAGGTCTTTTTTTTAAGCACTCTGAATTTTTTAACAAAACTTCTTATTTATTTTTGTTTACTGCCTAATTTTTTAATGGAAGTCAGCTATTCATATCATTTTCTTTTATATTCTAAAGCCTGTAAACTTTTCAAAGAGGAATCAATATAGAGATTCGTTAACAAGTGTAATAAGAAAAATAGTTGGAATTTGTTGTCTTTAGTTTTTTTGCAGTAGTCTGTACAGGTGAAAGTTTAAAATTTGTATGTAGACAGTTATCACTTTTTTGTTTATTCTAATTTTTGTTTCACATTTAGAAGGCATCTATTATATTGAAATTAGAAAAATGTATACGTTTATATTAGCTCTTATGTTGTTCATTTTCTGCAGACCATTTCACATGTTGACAGTGGAGCCATCATTTCTATGTCTCACTGCAGGGAGGCTCTGATTGGAATTTGATAATTCCTACTGGCTTGACCCACATGTGGTACATGCATGACTGTCCCATCTGCTGATTTGTACTGCTTCTCAGAGGCTCTTTGATTACAGTAATGTATAGAAAGGCATTGATTTAGCAGACCAGCTGTCATCACATTATAGTTCCTTAACAAAAGCATTAAAATTGTTTAAAAATTGTAACAGTTTTAAATGCAAATTATAATGGGATACCTGTAAGATTTCCATGTTAAAATATAGGAATTAATTATTGATAAACTACTCACAAATATAAACATTTCTTTTAATCAAATAAATTCATTGTTATTGTAATAGTTTTTAAATTTTTATACATAGTATTAATTTTCATATCTGAGCAGTAATTTTTCAAATTCAAGCTGTTAACTAGATTTGATTGATTTAGAGACTATTAGTTTTATTACTGAAAAGGCCCATTAATGTGATTAGATCTGTTTATACAACCAGTGGTTCAAGCCTCTTGTGGGGACAGTCATGCATGTACTACTGGTGGTTCAAGCTGGTGGGAATGTATTAAATATTTAGTTTAGGAAATATTTCAAAAATGAAAAGAACAAGAATAACATGACAGAAGCTTTCATAGTCACCTTCTTGTGCTATCTAACTTTTATTTGTTGCCTTATACATATTTTAAACACTTTCAAATGAAGAAAAAACAATGTAACTGTAATACTGTAATCTGTCTTTATGGTTTAACCCTTCTTACTAAAGAAAATATTGGTTCACCTCCCGACCAGTGCCATAAAGCAAGTATCATAATAGAGTGAGGCATGAAAACCTTTTCAGTCTTCCAGCATATATGAGAGTTGCAGTTATACCAAACTATAGTCTGTTAGGTGCATAATAACATTATGTCCAAAAATCATATTAATAATTTCTTAGTGCTAAAGAATGTTAATAGTCATCTGAACTAGCAGTAAGTTAGAATCTTCCCTCTAGTGGAGTGTCTTCTCTTGATGTTGATGGCTGCTGACTGATCATAGTAGTGATTGCTGAAGGTTGAGGTGTCTGTAGTAATTTTATAAAATCAGACAAGAGTGAAATTGCACATAAACTCGTTCTTCTTTTTTATTTTTTTATTTTAAAGGGAGTAATAAAAGAAAAGAAAAGAACGGTAGCAGCATACCAACATCACAAACATAAACAAAACAAATCAAGCACATTAAAAGTGATACAGGGTTTCAAAACAAAATGATAGGAATTAACAGTGGTTGTTATATTACATATTGTTATCTTCAACCACATTGCTCAGTTTACAGATGTAAGAATGAAAGACTGTTCAAACCATTAAAGAGAATAAAAAAAATAATTATTAGATAAAACATTAGAGATAATACAGAGTTTCACTAGACAAGATGGTAGGAATTCACCAATGGTTGTCCCATTGCATATTGTTGTCTTCAAATTAGTTGCTCAGATTACCAGATACAAGCATGCAAAATTGGTCAGAATATAAAAAATTTTAAGCATTAACTTCCCTTTCAATATAGCATGAGACATCAGCAGTGCAGTTATCCCAGCTATTGTTATCTATTTATCTATCTATCTATCTATCTATCTGTCATCTATCTTTTGCCTCCCTTCCTTCTTTCCCTCATCCCAGTTGTTCCTTCCTTTGAGCAATTTCTTTCTCTTTTATATCATCTATTATACATTTTAGTTTTCAGGTTCCTACACCAGGGAGACAATATGATGTTTATACCTGTGGGTCCGACTTATTTCCCTTATGACTGTGGTCTCTAGTTGCATCCATTTACCTACAAAAGCCTTGATTTTATTTTTTTTTATAGCTGAGTAATATTCATTGTATAAAAATGCAACATCTTTTTTATCCGTTCCTCAGTTGATGGGCAATTGGGTTGTTTCCAAGATGTAGCCTTTACAAATTGTGCTGCTATAAACATGGATGCACATATTGTGCTGTGGTATGATGTTTTTCACGTATTTATTCACCATTAATATTTCTTCATCCGAGAAGTGTGTGTTCATCTCAGATGCCCATTTTTGGATCGAGTGGTTCTTCTTCTTCTTTTTTTTTTTTTTAAACATTTTCTCTGTAACTTCCTGTACTATTTGACAGCATTTCCCTCCCAATAGAACTTCTTTCAAAACTGGAATGTATTTGTGCAATGTTCACAGCATTTTCACCAGTATTCCATCTCAAGAAACTAATTTCTTTGCCCATCAATAATAAGCAATTCCTCATCTGTTAAAAGTTTTCTCATTAGATTTTAAGAATTCTGTCACATATTCAGCCTTCAGCTTTCACTTTTAAGTTTAGTTCTCGTTCTCTTTCAACCACATCTGCAATTACTTCCTCCACTGATCATTCGTGATAGGCAGAATCACCTTGTTCCAAATTCTTGTTAGTGTTGGTATTTTGACCTCCCTTGAATCACAAACATTCCTAATGTCATTATCATGGGTGTGGGCGAGTGACAACGTGATGGCGTTGTAAAAGGGACCTTGGCCTTCTCTTGCTTCCTTCCTCTTGCTGTGTCTTGTCCTTCTTCCTTCCTCAGTGTGATGATGTCATACAAAGGCCATCTCCAGATGCAGCCTCTCAGTCTTGGACTTCCTAGACTTCAGAAGCATGAGTCAAATAAATTTCTTTTAATTATAAATTATTTAAATATCCTGTTATAACACTGGAAGAGGATGAAAATAGTAGATATCCCTAGGATGAAGGTCTAGCAGGTTCTCTGTTCATAGATTTCCACAGCAGCAGTATCAGCTGACCCTAAAGTTTCCCCATGACCATTTCAGACCTTCTTTACTGCATCCGAGGACAGTTCTGCTTGTTCAAGCAACCAGTAGGAAATATTTATATGTAACTCCCCTGTGGAGAAGGGGAAAAGCATTAAAATGGAATAAAATAATTTAATGGTTTACCTTACAATGTACAACCTATATGGGACTTTGAGCCTGATCAGGCCATATGAGTTTTTGTTCTGGAGGAAGTCTAGCAAAAAGCTTAGTGTAAAAGGAATGAAAACAGGACCATAGTCCCAGTGGAATGCTGCTGGGACAGCACAAGAAGTTTTGCTAAGATATGTCCTAAGAAAGGATAAACATGAAGGCCAGGAAGGCCAAAGTACAGCCTCTGTGATAGTTAAACTATAGTGTTCTCACTAATCTGCACATTTCCCCTCTCATTCCCAATTTCTGCTTTTTGTAAAGAAAAGACTAACAAATAGCCAGAGAAAATTGGAGGCTGTGGCCCAGATCCCATAACTTTGTCTCTCTTGTTTTCTTTTCATCTGCCACACCTCATTTTTGGGACCTGTCACCTCACAGAAACCGACATACTGGCATGCCCAACAGGGACCTGAAAGTACTGTTCGAGATGTCAGGAAGGGATTTCAGTGTCCAGCGGAGCAGAGAAGAGTTGGATGGGTAAGTGAGCTTGGTTTCTGGGATTGTTACATTGGGGTTGCAATAGGAAATTCCTCATCTCAACAACAAGAATATATTCATGTTTTAAAAAACTTTGTTAAAGAGCTTGGGGGTTAAAGAGAAACCACAGTCTTTATCTAAATTATTCGCCTTAATAGGGAAATACTGCTATTGGTTTGAACCCAAGGGACATAATGTTTTAAATTTAAAGTAATGAAATTGGTAATGAAGGCTTTGAAACACACTTATCAACAAGGAAATTCTATTCCTTTATATATTTGGTCTTTGTGAATTTAATAACCTTGGCATTAGAACTTATGCAATCTGAATCCGAACAGGAGATCTTGCCAGACATGAGAGATGAAAAAGGCAAAGACAGCTCTGATTCTGAATTAGATAATAGTTTTCCTGAGGAGACTCTACTGCTTCAGGGTCAGGGACCAATTACAGAGGATGAAGAGAGTCATGGATATTTTGCAAACATTTCTGCTACACTGAAACTTACCTTATCACAGTCTGTTGAACAGTCAGTAAAATCTGACTTTCCTCTACCTCCACCTTCTGTGTTCCAGGTCTATCCTGTGGCACCATTGGCTCCAATATATGATAAATCTAACCCTTTCTATATCCATCTCAAATGGCAATTAGAACACCATTGCCAATGACTGCAGTAATGAAGGCATTTGTTCAAGCAAAACAAGAGGGTGATTTAGACGCTTGTCAGGCTTTTGCTATGAACTCAGTTACAATTACTCAGCTACCAGGTGACCAGTGAAATCCCCAAGATTATGTTTGATATGGTCATGCTCCGTTACCTTGTAAAACCATTAAAGAACTGAAGCAGGCTTGTATTTCATACAGAGTGAATTCTCCTTATACCTTTGGATTGATTTTGGGGCTGGCTCAGTCTGACCACTTAATTCCATGAGGCTGGGAAATGATTGGCTGCACAGTTCTTGGTTTAGCTGAATTCCTTCAGTTTAAAATATGGTGGAGAGATGAGGCAAAATTAATGGCCCTCCACAATGCCCATAGCAGTCCATGGGTTCCTATTTCTGTAGACCAACTCACCGGCTTTGGTGATTGGTTTGGCATTAAACTACAAATACAATATGATGATATTTCAATTGTCCAGAAAAGAATGTGTCTTGTCAAAGCATGGGAAAAGATTGCCCTTCTTGGCCAACCTGTTTCCTCTGTAATTAAGGTCTTTCAAAGTGCTAACAAACCTTATGTGGAATTTGTAGCAAAACTGAAAGAAATACTTCAAAAAACAGTGTTGCAGCCTTCTTTGAGGGACCTATTTTTACAAATGTTATCTTTTGATAATGCCAATTCAGAATGCAAACAGGTTTTATGGCCATTAAAATCTCAGGCCACCACTTTAGATGAGTATATAGAAGTCTGTCAGGATAAAGAATCAGAAAATTTTAAAGTGGGATTGCTTATTAAAAAAGATAAACTTGAGGCTTTTGTAGGTAAATGGATGCAACTAGAGACCATACTCATAAGTGAAATAAATCAGACCCACATGTGTAAACATCATATTGTGTCCTTGGTGTAGGAACCTGAAAGACTAGGTAAAACTCAAAATGCACAATAAATGATAGGAAAGGGAAAGAAATTGCTCAAAGGAAGGAACGACTGGGATGAGAGAAAGAAAAAAAAAAGAAAGGAAGGCAAAACATAAATATATATGAATAGCTGTGATGACTGTATTGCTGTTGTCTGAGGGTGTATTGAAATGAACAGTTTCAATTAATGCTCACAGTTAATGCTCACAATTTTTTGTGTTGTGATCCATTGTGCATGCTTGTGTCTGGTGGTCTGAGCAACTGAATGAAGGTAACAATATGCAATGGAATTACAATGGTGAACTCCTAGCATCTTGTCTAGTGAAACTCTGTATTATCTCTAATGTTTTATTGAAGAAATATTTTCTTATTCTCTTTAGTGGTTTGAGTAATCTTTCATTCTTACATCTGATAATCTGAGCAATGTAGCTGAGATAGCGATATGCAGTATAACAACCACTGTTGATTTGTATTAATTTGTCTTGAGACCCTGTATCACTTTGAATGTTCTTGCCTTGATTTGTTTATGTTTGTGATACTGGTATGCTGCTACTGTTCTAGTTTTTTGTTTGTTTGTGTCTCATGTACTACTCTCTTTAAAATAAAAAAAAAAAGTGGGATTGCTTGAAGCCACTTTAAAAAGAACTGGCCCTTCTGTGACTGTTACCCATCTGGGCTGAATCTGGTTCCTGTATGAGTCCTGAACTGAGTGGAGACATAAATTTAGGTGATTCACAAACTGTAGACCCTGCAGTTTGTGTCCGAATCATGCCTGTACCCTAAACCACCTGGAGACATAGGTCCACTGGAGCGGGATTGTTGCACCAGTGCAACCTGAGTCAGGTCGTGCACGTGAACTGAATTGCAAGGGGACGCTGGACCAGAAGGTTGGCCATCAGGTGACACGAGTGCCCGCCCCTAAAAACG